GGACATTGTGGCTTTGGTCACATCTGCACATCAGTCAAGCTTGGACTGCTCCTTCAAGCAGCCTACAGCTTAGAGCAGACAGACAGGTATGCAGCTGTTACAGCTGTTTTCTTCAACACTTTAAAGAGCTGGTTTTTAAACTGTCTTTGGATCTCACTTTGTTGCTAGTAGCTTCCTTTTCACATGCAAACCTACTTTCCATCTTCACTAGGTAGCTTGCCTTTTACTGTCCAGTGAAAATTGCGTACATGAAGAAGGGAAGGTGTGATGAGAGGAAAACATGTAGACCGCACAGATCTTGGTGGGTAGGCTGGTACAACCAGTTCCTCGTGGTAAGACTGCATGCAAGTTTTCAAATGTCTTAGCCTCAACTTCTTCATATGTAAGACAGATAGACGTTCAAATAATTTGAAATTAATTTAAGAGTTACAGTTCATTAAGCACCATGTTTGAATTTCAAAGGAGGCAATGAAATTACCTTTGTGGAAGGTTATACCCACACGAAGGAGTCTCCTTTCTGCAAGGGTGCATAGTAGAAAGATTTATTCTCCCTCAAGACTGGATCAGACCGAGGTGTGCACACTTTTTCAGGCAAGAGTCAATCAGCCCTAACGCAGAGAGGTCTCACTCCCACAGGATCTGGACACAGTGTGAGGCAACCCGTCTTGAGCTCAAGACACATCTTTGAAGTTTTCTCTTTCATCTTAAAAAGTTCGAAGATATGCCATTCTACTGTAGAATGTGCTCCTCCTTATTGTAATGTCAGTTTGGTATTCTGACTTTCCTTTCTCTAGAATGCTATGTAAAGTAAACACTCCAAGGTACTCCCACACTTAAAGGAGAGAATTCTTGCTCTTGGCACGTTACATTGCCTATGAGTATATATACTATTTGGGTCAAATAGGAGAAATATATAGGTCTGCAAAGTCAGAGAAGATCACTGCTGTTCTCTCTCTCTCTCTCTCTCTCACACACACACACACACACACTACACACACATAATCTCAAGGAATTTTCCATTACAGAGACAAAAACCACTTACTGGAAAAGACCATGTTAAAGATTTCAGTAAAATTCCATGTGATTTTAGTCTGTAGTCTCTCATAATGCTCTTCAGAGACGGATGACTGAACAAAATCGTAAGCTCCTGTCTGACACCAAAAAGTCAAGAAAGAGTTAAACTGATAGAATATAGTCCTTGGTGCCTCAGATGGTAAAGAATCTGCCTGCAATGTGGGAGATCTGGGTTCAATCCCTGGGCTGGGAAGATCCTGTGGAGGAGGGCATGGCAACCCACTCCAGGACTCTTGCCTGGAGAATCCCCATGGACAGACAAGCCTGGTGTGCTGCAGTCCGTGGGGCTGCAAAGAGTTGGACGTGACTGAGCAACCAATACTTAGTCCATAGCGATATAAAAGGAGCTTCTATATTAATTCTAAATCATAAAAGAAATGCCAAGTGTAACCAAAATTAAAATGTAAATTGACAAGAGATTAGACAAGATATGCATTCAAAAGGACCATAACCAAGATACCCATTTCTCATCTCTGTTAAATGAATCAATGAATTCATACCAAAATACTGTCAAATGACAGTCAAATTAGTCTCCCACAGAAACACCAAGAACATGTATGAAGGGACTTTCAGATAAACTTTTACTGATCTCCAAGCCCAAGTAAATCTTTTAAGTGCGCAATCCAAGGTATTGCTTCAATAGGCTACATGAACCATAAGACAAATTTGAAAGCAAGAGAACTATTAAAAAAATTATATCAAACAACAATGGCATCAAAAACATAAATCTTTATGGGAAGAGTTGAGGAAAATTACAAGGTAGCAGTGCTTCTTAGATTTAATGTCCTACTGGGACGTGGACTTTAGAACATGTTTCTGGAAGGTTAAGTTTTGACTGTAAACATGGTTCTTTTTTGATTTGTCTTCAGCTTTGTAAACTAAGGACTAATGAATAAAGGTGGAAAGAAGTACAGGGATGCAGCAGGCAGCCTTAGAAGAAGCAAAGAAAGAGGAACAGGGTGGTGATTTTTTTTTTCTTTTTGCCAAAATATATCATGGTAATAATTTTTTTCTATTTTGTATGTTTTCAAATTTTATATTTTTAAAATTTAAGAAGACTCACTTTATAATGTAATATTCAAGGTGCAGAGATACAGCATTACTCTCGGGGTACCTGATATCACAGTAAGTCCCAGTGTTAGGGGAAGCACCCTCACTGGAACTGCCCACCCCAGCCAGGCCCCATAGTAACCATCTGCATGAGTTGTTTTACAACAGGAGGTCCTGGTAAGGAACACAGAACTAATACGCCTCCACCAACCGGAAGAGCTTAGGAAAGGTCAAAAAGAGCCACCACATGTCCGACCACCTCCCAGAATCCTTCTCTCTGGCATCCATCTTGGCTGAACAAGGCGTGTACCACCAGGAAGGACTCTGAGTCAGAATGATGGGCTAAAGACAACCCGGAAACTAATCCCATCACCATGAAACCCTATACGGCAAGCCACGTGGCAGAGCTGTTTCTCCTGGGCTCCCTCACCCTCCTGCTCTCCACCCGGGCGCCCCTTCCCAATAAAATCTCTTGCTTTCTCAGCATATGTTTCTCCTTGGACAATTCATTTCTGAGTGTTAGACAAGAGCCCAGTTTCAGGCCCTGGAAGGGCTCCCCTTTCCTGCAACACCAAGATACACACACTGGTTTGGGAAGGAATAAACGTCTCACTTTGGCATTGCCAGGGTCATTTTTATTTGGCTGAATATTGTTATTTCTGAGTCCAGTTGAGGCAGCCAGAAATGTGTTGAACCTTTTTGATGCAGCCGCTATAGGGGATACTTAACAGTGTAGCTGTTCTACCTTGAAGGGCTATAATTTCTGTTCTTGGCTCAAGTCTTTGCCTTTTGTTCACCTCACTATTTTTAACTTCTAAACCTAAGACTGAGAAAACTGATAACCCTGAGTGGAGGAAGATCAAGACACTATTCTAAATAATTACAGGCCACTGCAAAGCTGGACAGCAGATGGGAACCTGATGGTTCACACGAAACCTCAGGATGTTTCAACCTGTGAATGTTTCACTCTGTTCTTTAAGAGAGAGGAAAATATTTTACATACACTATTTCGTAAACTCAAAAGACACATATCAGGTACCTGAATTAAAACTTAAGCCTAACAACTGGAAATGAATAGAACATTTACCTTACACATTTTTCTACATATCACAGCCATATATATTTGTCACCTGGAAAGCAGTATCATTGAAAATCTCATTTTTTATTTCTGCATCTGGCAGAAGACACGACCACAAACAAGCACTTTTTCAAATAATACTATTGATTTATAAGCTGTGAACAAGGATTATTTCTACTTTTTGCAGTTCTTCAGAACCAGTCAGAGCCTTATAGATAAAACCTACTTTGATTCCTGGATTTTATAAGGGAAGCTGAAGGCTTAACAGATTATTATTTTGCTAAGGTCAAAAGTCAGCTTAGTGACATTGGAGTTCCTTGAATATAAGTTATTATACACTTGTAAAGAGTTTTTTAAACAGGGGGATTATCATTAAGAAGGTAGATAAAAGATATCAATCTCTTTTTATCTAATAGTACATGTTTATAAGCACAAAAATAAATAAAATTATTATTTTGCTTCAAATTCTCTACAATCTATTTCAGAGAATAGAAGCAGGATAAATACTTCCTAATTCATTCTAGGAGGCCAGCATTACCTTAATACTAAAACCAGACAAAGACAACTTGAGAAAACTACAGATCAATATCTCTCATGAACACAAAAGCAAAAATCTTTGACAAAATACAGCAAATCGAATAAAAAAATGTATCAAAAAGTATCACACACAATGAACAAGTGGGATTTATCCTAGGTTTACAAGGCAGATTCAACACTGAAAAATGAATAAATGTAATCCACTACATCAATGAACAAAAAAAGAGAAATCACATAATGATATCAATAGATGCAGGAAAAAAAAAATCTGACAGAGTCACAAACACATTCATGACAAAAACTGTCAGTAAATGAGGATCAGAGGAGGACTTCCTCAACTTGAAAAACTCTATCCACAAAATATCTGTTACTGATGTCGTACCTAACGGCAAGAAATTTGAACTTTCCCACTAAGATCAGGTACAAGACGAGGATGTGCTCTCTCACTATTCCTTTCAATATCGTCCTGCAAGGACTAGCTAAATAAGGCAACAAGGCAAGGAAGGGACATAAAATAAACGTATTGGGAAAGAAGACATAAAACTGTCTTTGTTCACAAATGACATGATAATCTAGGCAGAAAATCCAAGAGAATCAACCAAAAAAACCCTACAAATAATAAGCACTTATAGCAAGGTTGCAAGGTTCAAGGTTAACATACAAAAGTCAATTTCCATCCTACATAGCAACAACGAATATGTGCAACTTGAAATAAAAATACAATGCCATTTACATTAACACTTGAAAACTGAAGTACTCAGGCATAAATCTAACAAAATATAAAATAAGACCTACATGAGGAAAACTACAAAACTCTGGTAAATAAAACCAAAGAGGAGCTAAATAAATGGAGGGATTCCATGTTTGTGGATATAAAAATACAACATTATCAAGATGTGGATTCTTCCCAAATCAGTGCACACATGCAATGCAATCTCAATCAAAATCCCAACATTCTGTTTTGGACATCAACAAACTGATTTTAAAGTTTAGACGGAGATGAAATGATCAAAAGTAGTCAAAACAGTATTGAATGCAAAAACAAAGCTAGGGGACTGACGTTACCGGACTTCAACTTAATGATGAAGCTACATTAATTAAGTCAGTACAGTGCTGGTGCAAGAACAAACACAGAGCTCTGCGGAACAGAATAGAAAGCCCAGAAACAGACCCTGTAAATGCAGTCAACTGACCTTTGGCAAAAGAGCAAAGGCAATACAATGCAGCAGATCTCTTCTGTTCCCTGTTTTCAGACCCTTACCTGATGTCCGTACACGTTATGCAGCTGATGTCTCGACTGTTTGTTGTGATAAGGTTCAAAGCTACTGACGTCTCCTTGTCAGAGGTCGGGTGTGCTCCACATTTAAAGAAAAATTCCTGAAAGAACGAGAAACATGATCACAGACATGGAATCTGGCTGGCCATGCTCCCACCCCCCCGTCCCAAACATGTTCACAGTAAAGAATCTCTTCAGGAGAAGAAGTGTATCGTCAGATTACAGATGAGTCTGAAATAAGACAACATCCACTCTTTTGAGGGAAATGAATGCCTTTGTGGCAAACTATTCAACAAGTCCCCTTTTGAAGAAGGTTCCAAAGTGTCTGCTAGTCTTTCTGTCTCTTTCTCTTTCAGCCAAGGAGTTGTGGGCGCACGCTGGGCCCCCTGCTCACCTCCGGATGATAAGTGAGTTTGGGAGAAGAACACGGTGTGGATGTAGGAGGAATCCTGAAACAGCATCTCGACAACGAGGAAGAGGAGACTCTGAGCCATGAAATGATTGGTCCAAAGTCCAACAGTCAGAGGTGAAAGCAGGAAGCAACCCAGGTTTCCTAAAGGGAAGTCCAGTGCTTTTTACAGGGTCACCTCACAGTTGGTCACAGAGAGTCCAACACAGCTGAAGGGACTTAACATGCATGTATAGATTGTCCATATCTGAGTAGACCTTGAAATATTTGCGGGATGTCTTATATACATTTGTATCCTAACAGTGGATGGCAAAAGACAAGCGATTAGATATATTTTCTTAAATAAAAAAATAATCAGTAGATCTATTTAATGAATGCCACCAATGTTTCTTTATCCATTTGACATCATACTCTTAAACCGTCTTTTCCCTACTTGTAACCAAACTAAGGGCTCCCCTGGTGGCTCAGTGGTAAAGAAACCGCCTGAAATGCAGGAGGTGTGGGTTCAGTTCCTGGGTCAGGAAAATTCCCTGGAGAAGGAAATGGCAAACCCACTCCAGTATTCTCGCCTGGAGAATCCCATGGACAGAGGAGGCTGGCGGGCTACAGTGCATGGGGTCACAAAGAGTAGAACATGACTTCGCAGCTAAACAACAACAAACCAAACTGACCTCCTCCTCCTCTGACCACACACAGTGAGCCACACCTGTGGGTCTCTAAGTCCAACATGCATCAGAATCATCCGGGATGCTTGTTAAACTAGCCTTTTGTAGGGACCCGCCCCAGATGTTCTGACACTGGGCTTAGGAGCTGCATTTCCAGCAGGTTGCCAGGTGATGCTGTCACTACTGTTCTGGGGACCACACTTTTGAGAACTACTGAGTTAGAGCAACCTTAGAGGTAAAGGTAGCAAACTACTCATCCTTTCAGAAAACACGGGCTGTAACAAGCTCACTTAGCACATCTGAAAATAATGGCATGTCTCAGGTAAAACATGTTACTCTTCAAAAATCTGGAGAGTTCCCCTGTACAGAGAAATGTCCCCAAGCCAGGAATTTGGAGCCCAGGATGTTTTTAAGAATAAGTGCCTTGTCAATTCCAGGTGGTATACCCAGGTAGCCAGAACCCCCTACCTAGGGCAAGTGACACAGTAGCTGACCCACCAGCCTGCAGACCTCAGCCCCCGTGAATGAAACTGTGCCAGCATCCCGCTGTGATGGATGGGGTGAGCGCCTGGAGGGAGCCCACTCTGGTGTGTCTGCGAGGTCCTGCATGGCTTCCCCGAAGCAGCATGGAAATCATACTGATTGCTTTTGCTTTCTCTCTTAACATGGAAGGCCATCCTTATCACTCCATTTTTTTTTTTTTAAATGATATGAATCCTTCAAAGGTCAGTTCAAGGGTATAATGGAAGAGAGTTAAGGCCAAACCTGACCATCAAAACAAGACGTCTGGAGGACACGACTGATCCTCGTGAAATACACAGACCGCTTTTGCAGACCTGACAAAAATCCTCACTCATAACGGAAAGTAATTCCTCCAGAATAGCTGACTTGGCTGTATTGAGGAAGTATTTCACATACAGATAAATAGATAGTATTTATACTTTTTCTTAGATTGCAGAAAGCCACTGGTAGACATTCAGCTAACAAATCACAAACTGCTCTAACACTAGATAAAACTCCGCCAGATAAAAGTCAAAATCCTTTTTACTGGAGGGAGGAATTTTACAATCAATGGTTTAATAAGTAACAAATATTTGGAAAATGGCAGAAATTCATATAGCATGACAGAATTAAAATACAGATTAACTACTGTGTATATTAAATATGTATTAATCATCAGTGAATTTCAGTGCCTTCTCCACCGATTTTTATGGAAGGAGATTCTTCTCCAGTGCCAGAGTAGCTAAACTGGTGGAGTGGCCAATATTTCACCCAGCTTGCAAACTAACAGGTTAGCCTGCCACCGTCTCATGGATGCGGCCAGGAGACACAAGACTCCTGGGCCGGAGGCCCGGCAGCACGAAGTACAGGCGTCATGATTCTGTCAGTTCGTCTGCATCCCAGTTCCCGGGAGACGAAGTGTCCAGGCCAAGCTACATGTTACACATACTGGGTTTCTGCCACACAGCTGGGCACCCTGAGCTTAGGACATGTAGATCTTTTAGAAGGATCTGTAAGCCGACCTTTCCTTTGTGTTGAAGGGAGACGCTGTCTTTATCATACTGAACAGCAAGCAGGTCCACATCTTACTTTAGAGAGAGAGAGGTTAGACTACCATTTTCCAGGTCATTTGCTCTACAATTTCCTTGAAAAGATAGTCTAAAAAAAAAGGTAGGTAGTGCTTCCCTCACAAGACGTGAAGAAACTTGAGAGACCCTGGAGAAGTGTCTTCCAATAGTAATAACCCCTTTCCCACAGAGTAATCAGCAGAACGGTCTGGTCATTTCCTTTCCTACACAATCAGTGGATTAGCATTTTCAATAGCCTTCTGATATTTTCAGGCTGTATACAACACACACAAGGAAAAGAGGAAAACAGAAGTAAGAACCGTGTTGAAAAGTTCTACCTCGGGTATTTCAGCGTGCTTAGGCAGAGCTGTCATCTCACATGATGACTGACTGCATGATTCCTTTGGAGTAATTCTGCTTTTCTGGGATTTTTCTTTTCTCTTGATTGTTCAGATTAAAATATCAAGGATAACCAATGTCAGAAAAGCATCCTAGCCAGAGCCCACGCAGTGTGGTCAGAACATTGACAGCACTGTGAGATCTGGTCACCATCTGAGCCCCGAGGGGACCCAGAAAACAGCTCCGTCTGGGCCAGGTGGATAGTAGTTATGTTCCACGGCCTGGCGAGGTGGCCGTACTCTAGTTCCAGTGGGTGTGGGTTTGCCAAGCCAAGTTACTTCTATGTCGCCTGGCGTACAGTCCCCTGTGGGTGCATCAGAGAAACATTCTTGTTCATTGGACCAGGGCAGGGACGGGGGGGGAGGGCAACTCTCAATTCTATTGAAGGCAATATACGATCCTTAACTGTGGGTAGGACTTCCCAAGAGGTGTGGTGGTAAAGAACCGGCCCACTGATGCAGGAGATGAAAGAGACACGGGTTAGATCCCTGGGTCAGGAAGATCTCCTGGAGGAGGAAATGGCAACCCCCTCCAATATTCTCGCCTGGGAAATCCCAGGACGGAGGAGACAGGTGGGCTGCAGTCCATGGGGCTGTAAGAGCTGGACATGACTGAGCGACTGAGCACACAGTAAATAAATAAATAAAATAAATAAATAAATAAAAATAAAATTCTGGTAAATAAAGAATTTCAAAGGCACCTATCCATCTTTCACAAATGCCAGCTCACAGGTAAACCAGCTACAAAAAAGAAAAAGAAAGAGAGAGAGAAAGCTAAACATAGCAAGTCCTGTTAACTTAAATGGATTCTTCCACCTAACCAGAAACTGTAGCTCCTATTGGCTGGCTCACTTGGATCCATATACTCAATTCTGGGAAGCCCGAACTAGCGAAGGAACCAAAATCTGACAGTAGTTGGCCAAGTTGTTCTTTTTTTTTTTTTCCTCTCAAAAGATAGTGTAAACTACATTTAAAGGATGAAAAAAAAAAAATCCCAGAATAAGGCCTTAAAAAATCTGCTTGGATTTATAATGTGACCCTGTTAAATTCTTTAAGTATTAATAAGGTGCTTTTCACCTTATTAATACTAAATAGAAAATTCAAACTCCAACAGTTATATTCTTTAAGTTCTTAAAAAATACCTTTCTGCTCTTTCCTGTGGATGAGGCTCTGATCCCTTCTTTCCACCCTCACTGAGTTCTCACCTTTTATCAGTACCCACCCATCCTTTCCTTTCAGATCCTAGAGGAGAAGCCCTCTGACTGAATGAGACCCACAAAAAGCAGTGGTATATACCAAGGGAAAGACCTCATGAAAAGTTCCACTCAACTGTTAGAAGCTACCTCTTTCTCCTCATTCCAGTTTGCTACCTGACTCAAGATATGACCTGCATCTCTAACAGACAAACGGGAAAATGACAAATAAATAAATGAAACAAATAAGTAAACCAGTAAAATCTGAATTACGTTAAAACCAAGAACTCAATTTATAAAACCTTACAGAATCCGAAGTTTCAACTCCAAACACAAATTAGTATCTTCCAAATTTCTATAAAAATGGCTTACAACTAACCACCTGGAAGTACTGTTTGTCTCAAACACAATTCAGTTTCACAAACCTTAAAATGGAAAGACCTCATGAAAAGTTCCACTCAACTGTTAGAAGCTACCTCTTTCTCCTCATTCCAGTTTGCTACCTGACTCAAGATATGACCTGCGTCTCTAACAGACAAACGGGAAAATGACAAATAAATAAATGAAACAAATAAATAAACCAGTAAAATCTGAATTAGGTTAAAACCAAGAACTCAGTTTATAAAACCTTACAGAATCCGAAGTTTCAACTCCAAACACAAATTAGTATCTTCCAAATTTCTATAAAAATGGCTTACAACTAACCACCTGGAAGTACTGTTTGTCTCAAACACAATTCAGTTTCACAAACCTTAAAAACCAGCAATGAGATCTGACTTCTTCCCTCATGCACCCTCAAGTAACTTTTATCAAACTTCCTAAAGTTGAGAATTTTAACAGATATTGCCTAACAGTTACATGTTTTCCA